CAGTTTGCGCATGGCTTCACCGGCACCGCTTCCACAGTCGTTTGACTGCCACCAGCCAGCTTTGCGAATCTCCTGGACCCCGCGCAGATGCCCGTGAATTCGAGCGGCGTGCCCGTCGCCTGACAGGCGTCGCAAAAGAAGCGCGTGCCCGTGGGCATCGGTCTGGAACTAGTAGTCCCAGTTGAGGAGGATGAGGTTGCAAGCAGTGTAAAGGAATGTCTCTTGCCTAAGTACCCCCCTAGCTCCTCGGCTCCCTCCTGGCGCCAGCTCCCCTCTCGTTCAGTTCTCCCTCCATCCCCGCTCTCGCTCTCGCCTCTCTTCCCGTCCCTGCTCCTCCTCGTCCTGCTCCTCCATTCCTCATCCGTTTCTTCTGGCGTACTTCCCTCCCTTGTATCCTCCTCCTCTTCCTCCTTCTCCTCCTCCGCTCGCTATTGCCCTTCCTCCGACGCCGCCTATCCCTTGCCCTCCTCCTCAATGTGCCCTTCCTCTTTCTTCTCTTCCTCGCGCTTATCCACTTATGCCTTTCCTATCGTCCTCCGCCTCCCTCTCCTCCTCTTCCTCATCATTGTCATCATCAGCAGCAGCATCATCGGCATCATTAGCATGATCATCACCATCATCATGACCATCATCAGCATAGTCATCATCATTCTCTCCGTCATCGTTCTCAGTATGTTCTCGCATGTCGTCACCGTGCTGTTTGTTGCATCTGCTCATCCTTATCCTCAAGACCCCTCATTCATGCTGGACCTCATCCGTTCATCACCCACCATGCCGCTCCCCATCTTGCTCCAACTCCTGCCCCTCCTGCTCACGTTGCTCATCCTCGTGCTTCACCCCCGCCATCGCTTTCCATCAACTGCTGGCCCCACATCCCCTGCATGCTCACCACGCTGCCAGCGCCGACAATCTCACCCATCCCCGACTTCGCTCACACGTCACAACCTCGCTTACGCGCCGTGAGTGCGGGGGGATGGAGGGGGAAGGGGGGGAGCCGAGACCCCCGATGTTACGTTTGCTACACGACGTGGACCCCCAAGTGGGCGGCCATGATTTCGCCACCCCCGTCGGACGCGCACATGCCGCGCACATGCCTCGGGCCACGATTTGCTGACGCCCTACTGAATGGCCTGGGCCTTTTCCCCAGGACCAGCTTTCCACCCCGAGTCGATTTGTTGACGATCCCCCTGGCCAGGCGAGGGCCCCCAGAGGTCAACATTGTCGACAAAAGCAGTCCGTTGTGTTGTCCCGACCATCCTGTGGTGTTCGGTCGCCGTTTTGAAGAGACAGCGCCCCGCGTCTCCTCGCTCCTCCTCCTCTTCCTCCTCCTCCACCTCTTCCCCTCCTCCCTCCTTTCCTGCGTGCCTCCGTTCTCCGCGTGTCAACCAGGTCGGCGCACCCCTCACACGCTTCGTGGCCCCATAGGGAGCTCCACCGGCGGCCCCGTTGGCGACGTTCGCATGCGTCAGCCCGACCCAGTACAGGGCTTCGTGGCCCCATAGGGAGCTCCACCGCAGGCCCCACTGGCGACGTTCGCATGCGTCCGCCACTCCCAGTACAGAGTTCCGTGGCCCCATAAGCAGCCCCACCGAAGGCCCCAGTGGCGACGTTCGCATGACGTTCGCATGCGCCCGCCCCACCCAGTACAGCGCTTCGTGGCTCCAAAGGGAGCTCCACCGCAGGCCCCACTGGCAACGTTTGCATGCGTCCGCCCCACCGAGTACAATGTTTCTTGGCCCCACAGGGAGCTCCACTGAAGGCCTCAGCGGCGTCGTTCGCATGCGTCCGCCCCACCCAGAACAGCGCTGGTTGGCTCCAGAGGGAGTTCAACCGAAGGCCCCTTGGCGACGTTCGCATGCGCCCGCCACTCCCAGTACAGAGTTTCGAGGCCTCATCAGGAGCCCCACCGAAGGCCCCAGTGGCGACGTTCGCATGACGTTCGCATGCGCCCGCCCCACCCAGTACAGTGCTTCGTGGCTCCAAAGGGAGCTCCACCGCAGGCCCCAGTGGCGACGTTCGCATGCGTCCGCCGGCCCCACAGGGAGCTCCACTGAAAGCCTCAGCGGCGTCGTTCGCATGCCTCCGCCCCACCCAGAACAGCGCTGGTTGGCTCCAGAGGGAGCTCCACTGAAGGCCCCAGCGGCGTCGTTCGCATGCGTCCGCCCCGCCCAGTACGGCGCTTCGTGGTCCCATAAGGAGCCCAACCGAAGGCCCCAGTGGCGACGTTCGCATGCGTCCGCCCCGCTCAGAACAGCGTTTCGTGGCCCCGCCCAATGCAACGCTTCGTGGCCCCACAGGGAACTCCACCAAAGGCCCCAGTGGCGACGTTTGCATGCGCCGGCCCAATCCAGTACAGCGTTTCGTGGCCACATAGGGATCCTCCGAATGCCGCAATGGCGACGCTCGCATGCGTCCTCCCCGCCCATTTCGGCACACCGCTCACATGTTTCGTAGCCCATACGGAGCTCCACAGAAGGCCCCAGTGGCGACGTTCGCATGCGTCGGCCCCGCCCAACCCGTCACACTTCTCACACGTTTCGTGGCCCCATAGGGAGTTCCACCTGAGGCCCCAGTGGCGACGTTAGCATGGCAGCCCCGCCCCATTTCGGCGCACCCCCCACACGCTTCGTGGCCCCATAAGGAAGGGTTTACTTAAGGCCCCAGTAGCAGCGCCCGTATGGTTGCCTCGCCCAATTTCGGCACACCCGTTACACCCTCGTGGCCATATAAGGAGATCCACCGAAGGCAATGCCCACAACGGCGATACTCACAACTGCATAGAGGTGGGTCCCTCGCCAGGATAATTTTCACGCCGCGCGCATGTCTGGGCGTACGTACATCTCTCGAGCCAGCTGGGGAGGCCAGTCCTCATCGCGCCGATACATCACCAGTGCATCGGCGATACATCGACAACGTCGGCGATGCATCGGCGCCGTCGGCGTGGAGAACATCTGCCTCTACATCGAGCCGCATCGGCGATGCGACCCCGCGGCCCCGCCTACACGGACCTCATCTGAGGGGCCGCTATCGCAGCGTGGATGCCCTGATCCGCACTTGCTAAAACGCAGCACCTACCGCGCTCAACCCGTCTCACGCACGTGTTTACGTTTGCCCGCGTTCTGGCAAGCATGTCGCGCCAGGCCTGCGCTCTCAGTCTGCGCGCCGAGCCCCGTGCCAACACGCTGTACGAATTGCGCGTCCCGCATCGGGGCAGCCGAGATCCCCAGTCCGCCAGCTGAGCCACTGAGCCACTGATGGTCTGAGCGTCCGCAGGACGCGACGCCTCCCCCCCTTCAGGGGCGACGAATGGGGGGAGGGGTAGGCATAGGGGGGATGCATCGACCCCCAATCGCCCATTGATCGCCGACAGGGGCCCGATAGCCCCCACCTGCCCAGGAGGGTGCGGATTCACGGTCAGGGGCACATCGCCGATCCATCGGCGATGTATCGCCGATGCCAGGTCGATGCATCCCCCCCTTTATGCCAGTCTTCCCCCTATCGTTGCCCCTCACCCCCCCGCACGAGGGGAGGGCCTCCTCCTCCTCCTCCTCCTCCTCCTCCTCCTCCTCCTCCTCCTCCTCCTCCTCCTCCTCCTCCTCCCCCTCGTCTTCACCTCCTTCCCCCCTCCAACTTACGGTGGTGGTGGTGGAAAACAGGCCCATCAGCCTCCCCCCCGCCGCGCGAGGGCCTGTCGGCCCCAGGGAGGGGCTAATGAAGCGAGGGGCCAGGCGGCTCCTGTGGGCGGTCGCTCCAGGAGTCGCTGGCTTTTTGAGGGCATCTGGCACCCGGAGGAGGTATGATGGGCCTGTTGTCCACCACCACCACCACCACCATAAGTTGGAGGGGGGAGGGAGGAGGACGAAGAGAAGGAGGACGACGAGAAGGAGGACGAAGAGGAGGACGAAGAGGAGGAGGAGGATGAGGAGGAGGAGGACCCCCCTCCCCCTCCAGCTTATGGTGGTGGTGGTGGAAGACAGGCCCATCAAGGTAGGAGCAACAAAAAAGGCCGGAAGACCGAAGGAGGAAGCTCGGCCACGCGCAGAGGGGGCAGGGGGAGAGGGGATGGTTTCTTCGAAGCACCCCTGCTTCTTAGAAGGCGCGGCCGTTCTCTGTAGATGTAGGGCCAGGGGCTTCTAAGAAGCGGTCTCCTTCTAAGAAGCCTTCCCCTATTCCCCTATTCCCCTACCCCTTTGCGCGCGCCGCCGAGAAGAAAGGTGAGAGAAAGGAGCAGCAAACAGACATCCAGGAGCCTTCCAGCTCGATTTCGCCTCCGATAGTCAGCCCTGGACCTCCGGCGTCTCGCTTTTTCCTCCGGACACGGGCCCCCGACCCCTCGGCCGCTTCCTCGTGACCCGTTTCTCTTCCCGAGTGCTGTCTGACGGTCCCGAGACCCGGCGATCGCCCCTGGAGGCCGAACATCGGGGGCCCCCCAAACAGGTGAGGCGTTCTAAAATCGGCCTTGCCTCCGAGGATCGAAGGAGTTGCCATCTCTTCCGCGGCGGAAGGCGGCGGAAGGTCGGCGGCAAGCGGCGGGAGTAACAGATGCGCATCCAAGAGATGAAAACGTTTAGCATTCAGGGTTGTCGGAATCGCCCAGGTGGTCAGATATCAGGTGGCGACCTGGAATCCCTAAAAAGTCACCGCTGGGTTTTGGAACACGGGGTCGCCGCTGGGTTTTGCGACTCCTGGGCCCGCCAGCGTTCGGGACATCTTCGAAAAGCCACACGAGTCCCCAAGCCGGGTGGTGACACCAAATCGCCCGAGACTCACCGCCGGGTGTTGTCACCACCACGTCTGGGGACGACCAAGAAAACGATGAAAAATCTCCGTCTCGATCTTTTCGATCTTTCGATGTCGTCCTCGAGCTTGCTGGGGAGGCCAGCCAGCCGCTGCCCTTCGGCGGGATGTCCACCGAGCCCCGGCGCCGCACGGCCTCTGCCGGCCCGGCGCGCCGCGATGCCGGCGCCGCGCCACTGCGGCCCGCCGGGCCCGCGCTGGCGATGGCGCGCAGCCGCGACCGGCTGCACGACGAGGCGCTCGAGGGGGGAGAGGTATACTGCGCTCAGGGGCAAGGACAGAAGGGGGGATTCGGACGGGCCTATTCGACAAGGAGAAGTCCGTTCCAGAGCGTTCCGAAACGCTCTCATAGCGTTCCAGAGCGCTCTGCGAAGGCCGCGGCGCCCGAGACGTCCTCCAGAGCAGCGGATCTCAGAGATTCTAAATGTATGTATCCCCACCCGAATTTATCGTTGTCCTGATTTCGTCTGAGGGATGGGCATAGGTGGGGATGCATGGACCTCAGCCTCCAATCGCCCATTCATCGCCGATAGGGGCCCCATAACCCCCACGCCGCCCAGGGAGGTGCGGATTCGAATTTGCTATCGGGGGCCTACCGCCGATCTATCGGCGATGTATCGGCGATTCAAGGTCGATGTGTCCCCCCCTATGCCGATCCCCCCCCTGTCGTTGCCCCTCAAGACGGGTATTGCTCAGAGGTGGATACGCGTCGGTCTTTGAAAGTACGTGCGCGTGTGGACTCCCAGGTCCCAATCTGCTTCAAGCGCTTTCCTATTTCAAGAACTGATATGCTTGTGCTGTGTTTTGTGATTATCTGGGAGGGCCCAAACTACTTGATCCGCCTTCCTGCTTCATGCTTCTACCTACTTCTTCCGGCCGACGTGGAAACCCAGATCTTCGTCACGGGGGAAACGGTTCATGAGGGAAATGGGTCCTGAGGTTTTTCGTTGTTCATGGTATCCTGGGGCCCTCCAAGGGCCCCAGGCCTATCGGAAAACGATTCAGGATGAAGAACTGGTGCCTGGGGAAGGTCTCGGGGTCCAGGACCCGTTTCCCTCAGGACCCCCCGATGCCCCCATGCTAAGAAGACATCTGTCCTTCCCCCGTTTCCCCCGTTTCGGCCTTTGGGAGGCCCTCGTCGCCACGGGTGGATTCGCCTCGAAATCCTGGTCACGACACACCCCTGGAGAGTTCCGTGGAGTAGCAGTATCGGTGCCGTTTGGTTTCCCCATGGGTTTTCTAGGAGGGACAGGTATTGCCCAGAGGAGAATAAGCCTAGAGATCTCTCGATACACGGCTGGGATCGCCCCGAGAAATCTTGGTCGGAGCGCACGGAGAGAGAGGCCCGGGAGATACGGCAGGTTCGCGTCCCAGACATGATCGCACCGTACAAAAATCAGGACAGGAGGTTTTTTGGCCGATTTCGGCTTCGGGGGGCTTTCACCGGGCCTCGGGGCCGTCGAAACATGACTCGGGAGGAAAAAACTGTTCCGGGGAAAGGGTCGGGATTCCCACGGACCACGCATTGAAAAATCAGGACGTCGCATGTCTGGGGTCGTGTCGATTCGGCAGCGACCTCAGCGTGGGCGTTCAACGTTGAACTCCGCCGGTGTCCCCGAATCGGCCAATGTAGAAGGACCTGGCGATCGGAAAGCAGCCGATCGACAAGCAGCTGATCCACGCGGTATCAGAGCTTGAGATCCAGCGTTGCAGAACCAATTGCGACATCTCGGAACTGGGGCCCTATTATGCAACATATCTTTCAGGCAAGAAAGGAGGCACCGTACCGCATTTCCGCATCTATGGATCATGTTTCGAGACAGATCGATGTGTGCTGGTCCCGTGGCCCGAGAGCAGACGACAACGCCTGGCTCAAAGAAAATGCAATGCGGATCTCAGGCCGGGAGTGTCCAAGAGGGGGGGGGGCATGACTTGGGGGAGGTAGACATCCTGGCCGGGGCCATGCTCTCTCTCTCTGGGTTCCTGGCCTCCCCTCTCACCTCAATGCGATCTATGGCCTTCCCCTCGTCCGCGCGAGTCTGGTTGTTTTCAATTCCCTGAGGCTTCGATTCTTCTCCTGCAGGAAACCTTGTTAAAGGACGAGGAAGCCATACAGTCTGCCAAGGAATGGTGTTCCGCTCGTGGTTGGCTTGGGTATTTCTCTATGGCTGCAGTGTTAGAATCTGGAGTGGCCTCTGGAGGTGTGGCTATCCTATTAAGGGCTGGGCAGGATCTTGGAGCTAGCCCTGTACCTGTTAGGTTGTCTATGCCGCACCGTATCTGCGCCCTGAAGATTGTGATCCCTGGGCTCCCAAAGTTTTGTCTCGTCTCTTTGTACATGCAGACGAGTGTTGGGCTAAACGCTACTAACCTTGAACTCTTGGAAGACATCGCAACTTTTCAGGAGAAGGTTCAGCTCCCTCTCATGATTGCAGGAGATTGGAACATGAAGGCTAGGAGGCTTGAGACTTCGGAGTTCCTGATTCGCGCTGGTCTGGAGGCGGTCGTCCCGTCGAAGCACACATGTATTAAGAAGAAGTCTCAGACCACTATTGATTTCTTTGTGCTTTCTCATGTGCTTGCTTGCATTGTCACGTTGACCTCTGTGCTCTCTTCGTACCCTGTCTCGCCTCACTGCCCTGTGACGTTGCACATCTGGTCTGATGTCAACCATACTATCCCTGTCTTGTGTAAGTGCCAGAAGATCCCGCATGTCAAGCCCTTCGGTCCGTCTCTGGAGAATCTGCCCTGGGTCGAGTTGGAGAGTCAAGTATCCAGAATGGAAGAGCTGTGTGGGGTTCCTGTGGGAAGTGGCACACCCATGTCCAGTTTTGAAGCTCGGCAGGCTGCTCTTGATGTTGTGTACGCAAGTGTTGCCATGGAGTTGGAGCTTACCATCAGTAGGGTGACGGACGCCCCCCTCAAGACTGTTTCGCAGAGGGCCCGCAGTGCTAGGATCGTGCACGTTACTCTTGTTCAGCACTGCAGAAATCAGAAGTTGGCTTGGGAGTCCTACCTAGTACATCTTGAGGTGGATGGTTAAATGGGCCCAGAATGTATGTGTGGCCTTGGGAAATGAGGCAGGTCTTAGAATGCATCTCGAGAACTTGGAAGGCTGTCCTGCCGAGTACAGGTCGGTCCCCTCGCGCATTTGCCACTTGGATAGGGCCAAGTGGTTGGCATAAGGAATTCGACAGGACCTTGATCATCAGTCTTTGAGCAGGTACGTTGCTGAAGGCATACCTGGAGATTTCCTGCAGGATCTTGAAATTGCTTTGAAGGCTGAAAGCTCCAGGGACACCCTCGGCTCCATCAAGTCCTGGAAGGAATGGTATCGCAGTCAAGGCAGCTCTGTCTCCTGGATGCACAAGTGGACCAAGTGGATGTTTGGAAGCCTGGGGAGGTGCTGCAGCGCTCGGGCCACTGGTCTGGGCAGCCCACCAGCATCCTCAGGGCGGGGGCGGATAGGCTGGAGCGGCTCTGGAAGGGGGATGCCTCCCCTGTGGCTCCTTGGCAAGTGAGTCATGCAGATAGGAAGCCTGTCCCCCTTGCCACCCCAGACGAGCTGAGGAAAGTGTGTGCTGCCTTTAGCTCTAAGACGTCCCAGACGTTTGACGGTTTCCACCCCCGTCACTATCTTATGTGTTCAGACCAGCAGTTGGGGATCATCGCCAGGCTTCTTAGATGTATTGAGCAGCGCGGGCAGCTTCCCTCTGTCTTGCAGGCGGTTGTTACATGTCTCATACCCAAGCGCAGGCCAGGCGCGGTCAAGTTTCGTGGTATCGGACTGTGCGTGTCTCTGTATCGTGTGTATGGCAGGCCTCGTCAGAGTGTTGCTCGCTCTTGGGAACGATCTCATCGGCTTCGTTGCTTGTGTCACCAGAAGGGTGTTTCCATTATTGAGCTCGTGTCCGTGCAATACTTCAGGGCTGGAGCGGCTCGCATGTCTGAGAAGAAGATGCACACGTCGGCTGTGTTGTATGATATGAGTAGTTTCTATGGCCATATCGATTTAAACCTTCTCTGAACCAGGGCCGAAGACCTGGGTTTGACATGCAGGTCCTTGCCGTGATCTGCAACATGTACCGTGCGAAAAGGTTTTTTCCAGATGGAAGGTTGCGCGTTGGAATCTTCCTTCCCTATGCAAGGTAGTACGGCTGGGTGCCCGTTTGCTACTTTCCTGGTGCAGGTTTATTCCTGTGGGCCAGTCTTAAAGCTCCAGCAGGTCTTGGGAACGTCTGATCTGTTCCTGTTCATCGACGACTGGGTGATTCTGAATCAAGATTCGGACCCCAGGTCCCTTGCCACCAGAACTGTCGAGAGCTCGGCCCAGGTAACCCCGTTGATCCAGGATGACTTGCAGTGTGCACTTGTTTATGGTAAGGCTGCTGCCGTTGCCTCTTCGGACAGTATCAGGCATGATCTGGCCAGGTCCATGGGGAAGTACATGAAGTCCTAATACATCTCAGCAGCCAATCTTGGCGTGGACACCACGGGAGGCCAGCTCAGATGTCGGAGAGGTGCTACCCGTTTATTGAAGGAAAGAATCAAGAAGTTGAACCGACGCAAGCGAAGACTAGCAGCCATAAGGAAGGGATGTGCCAACATGCAGAGGGTGTACCTCGCAGGTATCCAATCCTTCGGGTATTATGGGGCCGAGGTGGTGGGGTTGGACGCAAGGGAAGTTGCAGCAGCGCAGTCTTTCTTCCTGCAGACAGTCGGAAGCACGTGTCCATCCAGGTCCCGCACGTTGTCGCTTCTCATTCTTCAGGACCCCACCTACAGGCTTGCCATGGGCCCTGTCACCACCTGGGCGAACTTGGTTTGGAAAGCAGCGGCCTGCCCTGGATTCGAACCCTCGCTGCCACGGCTGAGGGAGATTGCCTCGCATATCCTGGCGAGGCCGCCGAGAGCTTGGAACCAGGTTAAAGGACCTCTCGGGGCTGCTGTTGTCTCCCTGATTAGAATATCCTGGAAGTATGTCCCCCCCTTTGTCTTGGAGGACCACAAGGGTCAGGAAGTTGTTCTAACTAGCACGCCTCCCGCCAAAGTTCTTTGTGATCTCAGAGCTCCGTGGGTGCACATGCTGGCTGCGAAGGCCGCTAGCAAGTTCGGACACCCTGGAGAGTCCTCGGGCACGACTGTCTGTTGCCAATTACTACCCCTTGGCAGTATCCTGTCGCACGCAGAGAAGTGCATGTTGAAGGCGTTTGTTACGCAGCGTTTGTGGTCCAAGTGATTATGGTGGGGTATATCGTGTCCTCCGTGTGGGTTTCCTAGGGGTGATCTTCACCGTCGCCTGTTTGCCTGCTCTGCTACTCTCAGTGTTAGGGGTGAGTCTCTGAAGGGCGATGTATATGATTTCATCTCCCGAGAAGATAAGAAGAACCCTCTCACCCTCTCATGCTTGGTTTCCAGTTGATTCCTGAGAGCATTCTGAGTCCGCACGATGGCCTCGGGCATGAGAGTTATCTCCTGCGTGGACCCCAACCTCCCCCCTTGGAGGCGTTCAGAGACAAGATATGCTTTCATGACGGGTCCTGTTTCATGTAAGGTCACAAAGTTCATCACTGTGCTGGTTGGTCATGTGTTTGTCTCCAGGAGGATGGGGGACCTTTTGCCATCATATCGGGCAAAGTAGGGGCCAAGCTGCCACCGACGAGTCCTGCTTCGGAGCATGTTGGGTTTCTGGCAAGTTGCAAATGTGCAAGCTCGGCGTCAGAATTCTGCACGGACTACAAAGGGCTCGCGGCAGTGAACGAAAGGCCCTTGGAAGTGGTTGCGGACAGAAGGTAGTATTATGCTGGACCCGTTCTCCTTGCTCTGAGCCACCTGCCCAGGAAAGACGCTCTTGCCATCGCAAATGCGAAAGGCCATCAGAGTGCTGATTGTTTCGAGCCTTTCTCTGTAGACTGGTTCAGGGCCAAATGAAACCACTGGGCTGATGTGGCTGCAAAGGCGGCTGCGATGACCCATTCCCGTCCGTCGGAGAACGAGGTTTTTGAGTTCAGTCTTGAAGCGTCCAGCCTCGGGAGTTTTCTGATTTATGCGGCCAAAGCCCTGTTGCTTTGGTCAAGTCCTGCGCCTGCCAGGACCAGCGGCCGTCTGGGAAGGGCAGGCGCCTCTCGCGCTGGCGCAGCCAGTGCCGCCACTGCTGGCGGCACCGCCGCCCGCGCCGCCACCGTCAGCGCCGCCTCAGAGGTGCTGGGCGTGGCTGGCCGGGGAGAGCCAAGTCCCACTCCCCCTCGGGGTGCCCCCCCTCCTCCTGCCCCTGCTTCCGCTGGGGCCACTGTGGGCCCGTCCGCTGCCCCCGCTGCCGGCGGGGCGCAGGCGCTCCAGATGAGGGATCGCGGCCGCGAGCTCAGGTGGATTCGCGGGCTGTGCGCGTGCACGCGTTGTCTTACTCGTGTGCGTTCGGACCCTCCGCAGCCTGCTGCGGATTGTCTTGGATTTAACCCTGTGCTGCGCGCCCTTGTGCAAGAGCCTCAGGGGCATAAAAGTCACCTGACGGGCACCCCTGATGGGGCCACCCTCTTCTGCTGCTTGGACTGTGGCAGTGTTTCTGATGGGGTCAGGCTTGGTGGGTTGGCGAAGGCCTGCAAGGGCGGGCCCTCCTCCAACCACACGCGTAGCAACCTCTCTCGGCTTAGAAGAGGCATCCATCCCAATAATAGGGATGTGCTGCTTGTCGAGCTTGCGCCTCTAGCTGACTTTACTCGTGCTGTGGACGGCAGTGGTTCGGCTTCGACTGGCGAGGTGGGGAGTTAGTCGCTGGCGCCCTCCCTCTTGGGTTTGGGCTGTTAGCGATTTCCTTTCTGTCTTGCTGGTCTTAGCCCTTGCGATGCGACGTGTCAAATCAAATCAAATCGGGCCTTGATTTGCGAACATCCTCTTGGGGCCCCCCCGCCCCCCCTCGGGACGACCCCCCCGAAGTCAGTCTTGGGGTAAGGCACGCGGGGCCAGGACCCGATTCCCGACATGATCAGGAGCGCCGACGGGGGGAATCGGGCTCAAGGACAGCAGGGTCCTCGTCCTCCTCCCTCCTCCTCCTCTTCCTCCTCCTCCTCCTCTTCCCTCCTCCTTCTCCTCCTCCTTCTCCTCCTCCTCCTCCTCCGCCTCCCCCTCCTCCTCCCTACTCCTCCCTCCTCCCTCCTCCTCCCTCCTCCTCCTTCCTCCTCCTCCTCCTCCTCCTCCTCCTCCTCCTGCACCGGCCCCAGTCGCCTCATGATTCCTCGCCGATCGGGGCCGGGATGCCACAGTTTGCCTGGGAGCGTGGGAGCTCCCCATCGGGGGCCTCTCGCCAGTCTGTCGGTGATGCATCGGCGATTCCATGTCGTTGCTTCCCCCTGCCCCCCCCCCCTCACGAGGAGGAGGAGGAGGAGGAGGAGGAGGAGGAGGAGGAGGAGGAGGAGGAGGAGGAGCAGCAGGAGGAGTTGGAGGAGGAGGAGGAGGAAGAGGGGGGAGGAGGAGGAGGAGGAGGCCCCTCCCAGGCATCCTCCGATATCATTGGTTTCAATCCACGGCCCCAGAGGTGCTGACCCCTTCTCCCGGGGCAGTCGTTCGTCCCGGGCCCGTGTCTGTTTGGACCCAGGGCCCGAGGACGGGCGCAGGAGGCCAGCATCGAGGAACGACGCCGGGCTGCAGAGCACCACGCCGTCGGGAGATGTGGACCTTCGGCTCCTCTTGTGGATGTTTCCCTGCGCCACCCTGGGGGAGCCAGCGCTGGGGCCATCTCGGCGCGGACCCGCTCCGCAGCGGCATCGGTGCTTGTTCCATCGAGGGCAACAGAACCCCTACCCTAAATAGTAAGTCGGGCCCGTCCCTCTACAGGAGGGATATGCAAACATAGTCAAAAAATAGTTTGGGGACGAATTTTGATTTTTTTGCGCATTCGGGGGGCATTGTTTTGATATTTCTTCCGCCCAAAATCCCCCTGTAGGGGGACGCCCAACTTAACCCTAATAAGACGATGAAGACGCGACCTCACTTAGTTCCTCATCTTCGCATTGGGGATAGTTCATACATCTGGGCGGTTTCGTGTGATACAGTTCCAGACAAGACACCCTGTCCCTGACGTTCCTGGCGCTCCTAGCTTAGGTCTCCTCCCGAAGGGTTTTGGGTATTTCAGTTGCTTCATCAGTTTTGGTTACCCCATGACCCCATCTACTCGAACCCACTCTGGAAAGCCTCCGATGATCTCGGACCGGTTGTGGAGGCCAGCCGAGGCCATGCGAAGCCGCCTGCAGGCCCGAAGACGCCGAAGAGACTCGCTGGGAAGCTCGGAGAGTCTCCTTGCGGCAGCCGTGGTTGACGGTTTACCGCCGGCGCTCATTCTGGAGTTCGCCGACAAAATTTCGACGGAGAAATTCGCAACGCATGGTCGACGACATCTCGACGGACAAAACCGTCACCAGAGGGTACAGAGGAGCATCTGATCAAGAAGCCACCTTTCGAAAAGCTGGGCCAGCGTTTCTTAACCACCTTGCCAGAATGTTGGCCCTGTTTCTCGAGCGCGCTCGCCCCTCCAGCGTGAACAACAGAAGTTGGCCCAGGGCTGGTTCCGGAAACTTCGGGAAGCTGGCTCAGGTTCCTTACGTGCTGAGTTTCTTGATCATCTCGTCGGCTGTCGTTGCACAAATCGATGGGGCCGTCATGGCACCAGCCTGCTGCCGCGGCGTCGGTGTTGCTCTGCCCCCCCGCGGCGAGGCCGGCAGGCCGCCGCTGGCGGAGGGCAGGCGGCAGCCGCCGCCCGGGAGCGGCGGCCTCGGTGGGAGCAACACGGAGCGCCGGTTGAACGGGGTGTCTCGGCGACGCGCAGGGGGGGTGGGCAGGGGGAGGGGGGAAGGTTTCTTAGAATCGGAGGTTGATAAACCTCCTACCCTGACACGTCGATTTGCGAATGGGCCGTTTTCGGTTCGCGAGAGGGCGTCGCGGCCGTCATTTTTGCGGGTCCAGGTCCGTCGGTTTTGGTCCCAAGCCGTTTTCACTAAAGGGTGGTTTACTAAAGGGAGGGTTGCCCACCGCCGAAACCACCCCTGGTTCTCACAAGGCGCGGGCCTTGTCTGTAGATGTAAGGCCCGCGCCTTCTAAGCAGCAAGGTTGCTTTCGCCCAGTTTCGTAAAGGGGGGGGTTCTCCCAAGGTGGGGTTAAGGAACGATCCCAGCTGGATGCTCACATGTCTCAGAGGAGGGAAAAAGGTACCGATTCCGTTGCGTTTATCTCATTCTCCCCTCTTCGGACCTCCTGCGAGGCTCTCGTCTCCACCGCTGGATTCGCTTCGAAATTCTGGTCAGGACGCACCCTGGGAGAGGCAGGGGAGTAGCGGTATCGGGGTGTCCTTATTTTCTTTGTTCCAGGAGCCGTTTAGAGCGATTTTCAGGCGCACACCACACCGTCGACCCCTTTGGGGACTGTCGGTTGCTGTGGATTGCTCCTGAGGGCCTCTTTGGCGGCTTTTTTGGGAGCTCCTTGGAGCTCGTTTGATTATCGAAGACGCCGACGGCGAATCATCGCCGCCCCCTGCCTTTTTGGAAGCGCCTATGTGGCCGAACGTGGAGGCCAAACCTGCCAAGCTATCGGACCATGTGTTCCCTGAATCGGTTTGGAAAGCCTTCGGGGAACACGTGGGCATCTTGAGGGTCATCTTGGCCGCCTGGAGGCCATTTAGACCCTTTCGGGCCTTCTTGGAGGACGTCTTGGAGGGCTCTTGCGCCGTCTTGGAGGCCATCTTGAGCGTCTTGGAGGCCTCTTGGGCCGTCTTGGGCCTCTTGGGCGATCTTTGGGGGCACTTTGGCCGTCTCGGACCGTCGGAAGGCCGAAAAAAGCAAATGCCACAATCCTTGAACAACTCATGGGAAATCGATGATTTTGGCCTTTTCGGGCTCTTAGGGCAATCTTCGGCCGTCTTGGTGGGCCCCTGGCCTGTCCGACGCTTGGAAGCCGTTTGGGGGGCCTCTCTGAGCCGGGGCCCTCTTGGAATGCTCCAAGGCCGTCTTGGAGGCCATCTTGGGCGTCTTAAAAGCTTCCTGGGCAGTCTTGGGGGCCTCTTGGGGCCGTCTTGCGGGCCTCTTGGGGGGGCCGTCTTGGAGGCGATCTTTGGGCGATCTTTGGGCGATCTTTAGGGGCTCTTGGGCCGTATCGGGCCGTAGGAAGGCCGAAACGAAGCAAATGTCAAAATCCTTCGACAACCTTTGGAAAATCAGTGTTTTTGACCTTTTCTGGCCTTCCTTGAGGCCCTCTCGGAAGCCTCTTGGGCCGTCTTGGGCCAGTTTCGAGCCAACTTCAGCCATCTTGGTGGGCTCCTGGCCCGTCTGACGCCCTCGGAAGCCGTTTGGGGGGCCTCTCGGGGCCGACTTGGGGCCCTCTTGGGGTGCTCCGGGGCCGTCTTAGCGGCCATCTTGGACGTCTTGGAGGCCTCTTGGGTCGTCTTTGTGCCCTCTTGAGGCCGTCTTGGGGGCCTCTTGGGCAGTCCTGAGGCCATCTTGGAGGCCTCTTGGGCGCTGTGGGGGCGATCTTGGGGGCCTCTTGGGCCGTCTTGGGTCGTCGGAAAAACGTAAAGGAGCAAATATGAAAATCTGATCAAAACTCAAGACGAATCAATGATTTGGGCCTCTTCGGGCCCTCCTGGAGGACCTCTTGGAGGCTTCTTGGGCCGTCTTGGAGGCCTGGGGGCCTCTTGGGCCGTCTTGGACTCTCTTGGCCCGTCTTGGAGGCCGTCTTGGACCATCTTGGGCGGACTCGGAGGCCATCTTGGAGGCCATCTTGGGCCATCGCGGCCATCTTGGAGGCCATCCGGAGCCGTCTTGGAGGACAAACTTGGGAAAATAAGCTCCTGGAAGATCCTCCCGGGACCCCCGCGGGACGCGCAGAAGCCCTAGGAGGAGATCTTTTGGAAAAAGAACCAAAACCAAATCCGAGAGGATTCAGGACGCCAGGCACCCCTGCGATGAATCGACAGGGGCGGCGGATCGAATGGCCGTCGGCACATCCCGCCACCGTGCATGGGCTGCGGGTCGGAGGCAACGCGGATGGCAGATGGGTTCTCGTGGGACTCGTCTCGGGGGCGTTCTTTGGGAGGCAGTCTTTGCACCTCTTGGGGGCCTCCTGTGATCCTCTTGGTGGCTTGTTGGAGGCTCTCGAAGCTCCCTGGGAGCCTGTTGGGGACTCCTTGGGGCAACCGGGGAGCCTTCTGGGGCCAAAGGCTCGAAATGTCCGTTTGGGTCCGCCCTCTGGGCCCCCTCTTGGACCTGTCCTGGCCCCCCCTGGGTCTTAGGGCCCTCTTTGGTTGTCTGGGAGCTCTCTTGGGGGCCTCTTGGGCTGTCTTGGGGCGATCTGGGGGGCTTGTTGGGCCGCCGTGGACGTCGTGAACGCACAAGAAAAGAATGTATTAATTACGCTACCGAGGAGCCCCACATACTTACATTATGGCTGGGGTAAAGATAGCTGAAGTGAAGCATGGGAGAATGATGCCGGTGGCCGTTGCCCCGCCGATACCGCAAGGACGACCGTCACGGATAGCGGCCGCGCTCAGGGACCACCCCGTGCGCACCCCTTGTGGTGTCGAGAAAACGCCACGCCTGCTGCGCCCTGGACGACCGTCACGGATAGCGGCCGCGCTCAGGGACCACCCCGTGCGCACCCCCTACGGTGTCAAGAAAACGCCACGCCTGCTGTGCCCTGGACGACAGTCACGGATAGCGGCCGCGCTCGGGGACCACCTGTGGCGTCGAAGGAATGCCACGCCTGCCACGCCCTGGGAGCCTACAACGCATAGGGCCCCCACCCCCAGCACACCCTCTGTGGCGTCGAGGAAATGCCACGCCTGCTGCGCCCTGGGAGCCTGCAACGCATAGGGCCCCCACCCTCAGCGCACCCCCTGTGGCGTCGAGGAAATGCCACGCCTTCCACGCCCTGGGAGCCTACAACGCATAGGGCCCCCACCCCCAGCGCACCCCCTGGGAGCCTACAACGCATAGGGCCCCCACCCCCAGCGCACTCCCTGTGGCGTCGAAGGAATGCCCTGTGTGCTATGCTGTGCTGTACTGTGCTGTGCTGCTGTGCGGTGAGCTGTGCTGTGCCGTGCTGTGCTGAGCTGAGCTGTGCTCAGCTGTGCCGTGCTGTGCTGAGCTGAGCTGAGCTGAGCTGTGCTGAGCAGTGCTGTGAGGAGGAGAGGAGGAGTGAGGTGTGTGAGAGAGAGAGAGAGAGACGGAGAGGGAGGTGTGAGGTGTGAGTGTCGCGGGTGCGGCGCGGCAGGGAAGAAAACCAGAACCCCACGAAGCATGTGGGGAAAAACAATCGTTTTCCGAAGGGTATGGGACGATTGTTGCTCTTGGAGGCCGTCTTGGGACGCTTCTTGGGGTCTTCTTGGATCGTCTTGGGGGCCTCTTGGGCCGTCTGGAGGCCAGCATGAGCGCTGTGGATCGATCTTTCGGCGGCTCGTGTCCCTCGTGGACCGTCCAGAGGGCCTCTTGGGTCCCTCTGGGCCTCTTTTGGGGCCCTCTGTCCCCCCACCGGGCGCGTTCGGCCGGTCCTCGGGGGACCCCCTACCCTTCCAAACCGACCGGACCGGGCTCCCGGGGGAGGGGCTTTGGGGAGGGGAAGCATCTCACACGCCGATGAACCCCAAGGGGTCGGCGGATGTTCTTCCCAACCCAACCTCCGCCCCTACCCCACCTTTTCGCGTCCCCCCCCGAATTCGGCGTCCAGAGTGTGGTCCGATCGGTACGATCGACAAGGGTACGGAAACAATGGGTACGTACACCCCGCAGGTGCGAGTAAGAGTGAGGGGGCGGGCGGGTGGGTCGCGGGGCGGGTCGCGGGTAGGTCGCGGGTGGGTCGCGGGGTGTCAAGGGTGGGTGGGGGCGACGGCAACAATAATAAAACAACGCATCGCAACGCAACGCAACGCAACGCATCGCAATAACAACAGCAGCAACAACAATAACAACACCAGCAGCATCAACAACAACAACAGCAGCAACACCAACAACAACTACTACCACAACACTTAATGAACATACGCCAACATCAATCACAACACTACCAACAGCAACTGCAACAACAACATCAGCAACAACAGCACCACCAACAACAAGAGCAACACCAACAGCAACAATCACAATCACAGCACACACACAACAACAACAGCAACAACAACAGCAACAGCAGCATTAGCATTGTTCATTATTGTCTCCTCGTGTGTCATCCAAACTGTATATCCCAAGCCTTCGATACCCGCCCTCTTCGTCTTCGATCATACCCCCCTTGGGAGTCTATCTTCCTTACCCGCCACTTGTAGTTGGCGCAGCCCCTCAAACAGAGAAGAGGTGGAGGGAAGGGACAAGGGGGGGAGAGAAGGATTAAGCACGACAGAGACTCGCAGAAGGGGGGGTAGGACCAGAAAAGCAAGCGGCAGAACCAGACGGGCTGGTCGGGCGGGGCGAGTCTGGCGGGCGGGCTCAGACGGCGGGGTTGAGCAGGCGGATGGCTAAATCGTAAGTCCCGCATGAATCGCGAGGAAGTCTCGAGCGATAGCGAGATTCCCCAGCATCCCCCAGTGAATGGTGGAGATATCCAGGGCGAGAGCGTGATTCCTGAGTGTTGGCGGCGCGGGATTTCAATAACTTGCAGGGAAATGCCACGCGAGAGCGCGATTCCTGCATTACTTGTGAGGAAGTCCCGCGCGAGGGTGCGGTATTGAATACGTTGTGCGGACGAGTCAGGTGGAGAATGTGTTGTGGTAGTTCGCGGGCCAGGGGGGCAGTCTGAGGCTTAATCTTCCATGTGTAAAAACAGGTTGCGAGCCCTAGGAGCACTTTGTTTGAAAAACGCAGTGGGCACCAGACGGGGGATCAACACTATTATTATAGAAACGGGAATCCAACAACAATCATTTCAATAGTGTTCACGCTTATCTGCTCGCGTGTCATTCAACATATATGTCCCAAACCCTCGACCCACCCTCTTCGTCTTCGATCGTGCCCCCCTTTATGACATATCTTCCTTTCCCGCCACGTGTAGTTGGCGCAGCCCCTAAGACAGAGGAGTGACTGGACAAAAGGGGGGGGGAGAAGGATGGAGCACAAGAGAGAGTGGCAGGAGGGGGGTTCGGAGCAGGAGGGCAAGCGGCAGAACCAGGAGGGCGTGTCGGGTGGATTCCAGATTGCAGGGGTCAATCGGGCGGGTCGCTGAAGCATCAATCCTGCATGGATCGCTGGGAAGTCGCGATTTGCAAGTTTATATTGAGGAACATTGCCAGAGCATGATTCTTGAGTGTCGAGGGCGCGGCGTTCAATACATTGCGAAGAAGTCCAACGCGAGAGGGTAATTCCTAAGTGGAAGGTAAGGAAGGCCTGTGCGAGAGCGCGAGTTAGAATTTATTGCAAGGCAGTGTCCGTCGGGAGCCGTTGTTATTGTTGTTGTAAATTGGGGGACAGCAATACAATTTCAGGCTCAAGACTTTCCTTTGTAAAAAAGCAGGGTGCGAGCCCGGGCAGGAGCACTTTCGCATTGGAGGGGGGGATCAACACTGACTGTTGTTGAGACATCAGAATTCAAGAGTCCTCGCAGCGGGATTACACTTCAGCCACGCACCCAGGGACACTGAAGGACAGTTCGACCCCCTCGTCATGACGAAGACCGACAGCAGTTCCTGTCCATTCTGAACCAGGCTCGTTGTCGGCGTCGCCACGGACGGAGTCGATTCAGTGCACAAGGCCGCCTGCGCAACATCGGCCGCTGTAGGTGCTGGACGACAGCTGCTGCTGGGTATCGTACCACTCTTTGTTCGTGCCCACGTCGGGTGTCCTAATCCGAGGGCGGTCCAGACGCTGAGCTACTGACCACGTTGGGGTCAGGAGGGGCTCTGGTTTTCAGACAGCAGGGCACGGAAGCTCCGCTCGCCTTGGTCGGAATGTACACCGGCGGATCGTGCCCAATAGCGCTCAATGGTTCCAAATCAAATTCAACAGCGCCCCAATAGCGCCCAGTAGCACCCAATAGCTCCCAACTAGCGCCCAGTAGCGACCAATAGCGACGAATAGCGCCCAATGATGCCATGTGTGGGAGGTGCATTCTGTCTGCTTTGTGCCTTGCTGGGCGCGCTATTGGGCGCCATGGGGATGACCAAAAGCTTCCGTGAGTTGTGTTCGAACGTACAGTCGATAAATTGAAGCTATGATTAGGTTTGGGTATTGAGGGGCTCTGGTTGTCAGGCCATTCCTTCGACCTAGGTTGGGGAACATACTCGTGCGTAGAATCTGCAGGGGACCTCCTCTCACCCGACTCTTGCAGCATTATTCGGCGTGCAGAGGGTATCGGATAGCCTCGGAATTGCTTCGGACAGCCTCGGGATGGCTTCGGGTAGCCTCCGATGTCCGCGGTGTGCCCTCGGATAGCTACGGATGGAGTACATCATGGCGCAGATGGCCTGGTCGGGGGGGCAGACGTGGTCCTTCAGAATTCGCGGCCGATGCTCCACGCGGCCAGAAGAGCCCCTTGGTTCCTCATACGGCGTTCCTTCTGGCAGCACAGTGTCAGCACATGGGGGCAGAGGATTGCGCCGCGTCGCCGACGCATCGGCGATGTGGCTCGAAATGGAGTCCGATCTCCTCCACGCCGTTGGCCCCGATGCATCGCCGATGCATCGGCGATGCAGCGGCGTTGCGGCACACTTCTCCTCCTCCGCCTCCTCCTCATTCTCCCTTTTCCCGCTCCCTTTCCCTTTGCCCGCTTTTCCGGCTTGCTGAAGTGTCGATGAGCAGTATGATCCACATTTCGACTTGCTATGCCATGTTTCTGCGTCTGTCTGGATGCATCGCTTCCATGTTTTGGCGCTGCCTGTTCATTTTCTTCCACCTTTCCGTACATGCGATCTTCGCCCTCAGCCTGAACAGCGAGTTTCTTAGCTCCTCCTTCATGTCCTCCTCCTCCCCCTCCTCCTCCTCCTCCTCCTCCTCCTCCCCCTCCTCCTCCTCCTCCTCCTCCTCCTCCTCCCCCTCCCTCCTCCTCCTCTCCTCCTCCTCCTCCTCCTCCTCCTCCTCCTCCTCCTCCTCCTCCTCCTCCTCCCCACTCCTCCTCCCTCGATGCATCGCCAATGCATCGCCGATGCCGCGGCGATGCGGCGCCGATCCTCCGACCCCGGCTGCTCAGACCCCATCGGGGAGGCCTCCAGCAGGAGCGCCCTGCGTCTTCGCCGGGGACGCCTGGGCGCCACGTCTTCACCAGGGGCCCGCGGGAGAGCTGGCAGGAGCCGCCGCGACAGCGCCCGATCGAGGCTTCTGACGGCTCGGTTTTTCCGCAGTCGCGCTTCACGGTGGAGGGCTCTACGGTCGCGTCCCGAGCCTGCCCAAGCCTCCTGCCCCGCGGAGAGCGGAGCGACGCGCCAGGGCCGCCGCCGCGACACGCTGTGCAAAAGTTCTTGACCGCAGTGGAGGTGGAAAGTTGTTGGACCCCACAGAATCGGCGTCACCCCAGCATACTTATACGCGCACCGAGAAATCTTATCGTATATGCGTCGTGGCGGGCGCTTTCTGGCCACACCGCTCGGGAAACAACATACTACAAGCTAGGTGTACTATATGTTCGGGTCGGACGCGCGCCTCCAAGGAGGACATATAGTGGTAGTATGTCCCTGTGCGTCCCACAGAAGACCAACAGGGTGGACGGGGAGCCCCAGGGATGCCCAGGCGCCACATCTTCACCAGGGACCTGGGGGGGGAGCTGGCAGGAGCCGCGGCAGGCAGCACCCAGGGTCTCCGACGGCGCGTTTTCTGTTCCGTCCAGGCGCTCGTCCTCGGCGTGGAGGAAGAGGGGCCGATACCGCTACTCTCGTCTCGTTTTCGCTTTGTTGGCCTCCCAGGAGGCCCTCGTCGCCACCGATGGACTCGCCCCTAAATCCTGGTCAACGCACCTCAGGAGAGGTCCAGGGAGTAGCGGTTCGGCACGTCCGTGTCGAGTCGACTGGTGGCCTTGGCGCTGACGTTCAACATTGGACGCCGTTGGCGACTCAGAATGGTCGATGTTGAACGATCTGACGTTTCGGAATCCGCCTGTCGTTCAAGGTTGAACGATCCCCGTGGTGTCATAAACCAACGCAGCACGATACGAATCTGCCGCATCGATACTCCGACGGCCTGGTTTCTGTGATTTCTTGGCGCTCTTCCTCGGACTCGGCCCCACGTCGGGTGGGGCTGGGACAAGGGTAAACCCGTTCCTGAGCGTGCCAGAACGCTCTCAGAGCGTTCCGGAACATTCTGAGAAGGCCGCGGCGCCCGATATATCTTCCAGAACCGCCAGATCTCAGAGATTCCCGATGCATCTGTGTGCGATGTGATCCTCGTCCTAACCGTCGTCTTACCATGGGGCGCGTGGTCGGGCACCGAGGTAGCCCTGCACGCTGTAGTCCAGGGGCCGCGTCGCTCCCCCGTCGCCGCCGCGGCTGCTCCTCGCCGCCACGGAGCGCCGAGGTCTCTCACGCCGCGCAGAAGGGGGGGTATGGGGATGTGGGAAGGCTTCTGAGAGGCACCCCCTGCCTCTTAGAAGGCGATGACCCTACATCAGTAGATGATTAAGGCCGCCCGGCGCCATCTCAGAAGCAGGGGTGCTTCTAAGAAGCCTTCCCCCCTCACCCTACTCTCTTCTGCGCATGGCCGGAAAACAGATATATGGTTCGAGTTCCGCGCAGGTTCCTTGCATCGGCGTTGGGCCCCACTGGCGGCGCCTCCGGCGACGTCCTTGGCATGCTCCGTGCGCCTGACAGGTGGGTCCAGATGCGATCCAAGAAATCCGCGCGGACCTTAGAGCAATGATGTGTTCTGCAGTCTGTTGTTCTTTTGTTGTTCGCGAATCACGACTCAGCCAAGGTAGAAAAGGTCCACACCGGAGATCCGCATGTGGGATGGGGAGCCCCAAGACGCCATTCCTGGACGGCCGCTCCGCTGAAGATTCCCTCGCAACTTTTATTCCGGAATCCTGCTCTCGTTTCCATGCCGGCTACATTGTTGATCCTGACGGCCACGATCTTTTCGGACCAAAAACATACCAAAACACTATTATGTCCGTGGCCTGACCCCGGTCCCCCATAGCCGACCTCCTACTCCTCGACTCGCCTCTTCACCTTTGCTGCCATTGGGGTGCTTTGCTGGGGTAATGTCAGTCTTGGCGCTGTTCCTCGGTTTCGGCCCCAATGGGGCGCGCCATCGGGCCACAGGGTCATCGAACATGGACATTGGGCGGAAACAAACACTTTCCATGAAAGGGTTCAGGACCTCCAGGGCCGCGCATTGAAAAATCACATCGGCCCGATGTGTGGGCACAGGGGTCCCGAGGGACACGGGCCCTGGAGGTTCTGTGGCCGTTTCTAGCCTCCCTCCTTGGGCCCTCCACGGGCTGGGGGGCTGTCAGCGAAACGACCTATGCAGACTCGTCTGGGGCGTCCACCAAGAGAGGAGTGCTGACTAAGGGTCTGTGGATATCATGCTCTCCGCGCCAGCTTTCATGATCTGAGCGGGCTCCCCCATCTTCCCCCTCTGGCGCTCGTCCCCTGTTCGCCTCCGTGCCTCATTTCGCTCCCGGTGCACCCCACCGCTTGCCGACCGGCGCCTGACTGTCTTGGACCAATTGGCGCCAGCGGATTGAACAGTGTGGACGTCATGACCAGGGCCGCGAAATCTCCCAGAGTTTATGTTGTTTTGTTATGTTTTTTTATCAACCATCCTGTGTGTTGGGTCCTCGTTTTGAATTCGCAGCGCCGCGCCCCACCTCCTCCTCCTCCTCCTCCTCCTCCTCCTCCTCCTCCTCCTCCTCCTCCTCCTCCTCCTCCTCCTCCTCCTCCTCTCCTCTCCTCCTCCCCTCCTCCTCTTCATCCGTGTCATCGACATCACCTTCGTCGTTGTTATCAGCTTTCTCATCCTTCTGCTCCCTCTTCCCATCACCGCCACCACCACCATCATCATCAGCATCATCATTATCATTATCGTCATCGTCACCATCATCATTATCATCATCATTAGCATCATCATCATCATCATCATCATCATCATCATCATCATCATCATCATCATCATCATCATCAGCATCGTCGTCACCATCATCATCTTCATCAACATCATCACTATCACTGTCATCATCGTCGTCACCACCATCATCACCACCATCATCACCACCACCATTCCGGAAGGCGCACCCACTACACGCTTCGTGGCCCAATAGAGAACTCCACCGAAGGCCCCGATGGCAGGGCCCGCATGCGTACTCGGCTCCACTTTGGCACATCCCTCACACGCTTCGTGGCCCCATAGGGAGCTCCATCGAAGGCCCCAGTGGCAGGGCCCGCATGCGTACTCGGTTTCATTTCAGCGCACCCATCACAAGTTTCGTGGCCCAAAAGGGAGCTCCACCGAAGGCCCCGATGGCAGGGGCCGCATGCGTACTCGGGTGTACTTTGGCACACCCCTGACACGTTTTGTCGCCCCACAGTGACCGAAGGCCCCAGTGGCAGGGCTTGCATGCTTACTCGGGTCCACTTTGGCACATCCCTTACGCGCTCCGTGGCCTTCACCGAAGGTTCCAGTGGCAGGGCCCGCATGCGTACTCAGATCCACTTGGCACACCCCTCACGCATGCCGTGGCCCCACAGGGAGCTCGATCGAAGGCCCCAGTGGCAGGGCCCGCATGCGTACTCGGGTCCATGCAGACCCCTGACACGCTTCGTGGCCCCATATGGAGCTCCACCGAAGGCCCCAGTGGCAGGGGCCGCATGCGTATTCGGTTTCACTTCGTCAGACCCATCTCAATATCTGTGGCCTCATAGTGAGCTCCACCGAAGGCTTCAGTGGCAGGACCGGCATGAGTACTCGGGTCAATTTCGGCACACCCTTCACGCATTCCGTGTCCTTATAGGGAGCTGGCTTTCCGCGCGCAGCGCTGGAGCAATTTATCCTTCCTCAAGTTGTCCCTCCTCCTGCTCGTTCAGTCGCCGCCCTTGTGTTCCGCGCCGCATGCATTGCTAACCTCCGCGTGTGATTTGAGTCGCGTGATTGCGTCCTGAGCCAGGTCCGATTTTCTCTGGTGAAGTTTCCAGGGGCACTGCGAACCCCCCCAACGAGTTCTTGTGCATCGAGCGGTCTTGTGGATACTTTACACGTGTGTCGGATTTTTTGCTTTTCTTGTTATTTCAATGCGTCCCCTGGTGCCCCCACCCTCGTCCGTGCAGGTGCCTCGGGCCATGCTTTGCGAACCCCCCCCTCTTGGACGCACCCTCTGAGATTCACTGAAAGTGGTACTGGGTGAAGGTACCAGGGTCCAGGACCCACTTCCCAATACAGTCGCATCAGATTAAGAAACCTCCTCTCGAAAATCTTGGCCAGCGTTTCTCAACGAACCTTGCCGGCAAGCTGGCCCAGCTTCTTGAGCAGCTTCGCCCCGAGCGCCAACAACAGACACTGACCCGGGCTTGTTTGAAGAAGCTTCCGGGCAGCTGGTCCAGATTTCTTACGTGGTATTTCTTTCTTTTGATCTGATTTTCGGCTGTAGGATCAGGGGGGGCGACTGGAAGATGGACTGAAGGAGCTGGGGGGGGGCACCGACCCGCAGTCGCCCGGGGGGTCCCCACCCCACCGAGGGCACGGCGCCAGTATATCGGTGATGTATCGTCAACTCCATGCCGTTGATTCCCCTTGTCCCCCTCCCCCGGGCATCCTCCGATAATTTGTTTTTCGATCCACGGTTGCAGAGGTACCAGACCCTTCCTGGGGGCTGGTCTTGCGTCCCAGGCCTATTGTTGGTAGTTCTTGGGCCCGAGAACGGTCCCAGGAGGCCGAAATCAAGGAAAATCGCCAGGATTGAAAATACATGCCGTCGGAGATCTGGCTTTTCGGCTCCTCTGACAGGAGATGGGCCAGATCGAGACCACAGACTTCTCTGCCATCAACGAGAGTCGGCACAGCAGCCGCCGGATCGACACGTTCGGCACGCCCCAGTCGCTGTTCGAGTGGGAGGCGCCTGCGCTGACGATGGAGCCTTGGCAGCAGCGCATGCAGGAGGCTCGTTTCGGACAAAAGCCCAGATCTCCGAGGATCTGATTTGTAAAGCTGGGCGTTTGCCCAGATTTCGGCTATGGGTCCCGTTGTCGGGACCCAGGGCCATCCAGAATGGACCCAGGACGGAACACTACCCTTGGAGAAGGGGTCGGGACCTCTTGGGCCGAACATTGAAGAAACCACGCTTGGGGATGTTCTGGGGGGACAGGGCAAGGGGTGTGGGGGGGGGGACAAAATCTGCTGCATGCAGCTTATTTCGTCTCCACCGCCACGCGCTTTAATCGACACGCTGCATGCAGCTTATTTCGTCTCCACCGGGACCCCCGACGCCGTGATTTTTACAAGACGTGCCCCGCCAGCGGTCTGAACCCTGTCCCCAGGACCGGCTTTTGTCTGGAGTCGTGTTTTCGACGGTCCTTGGGCCCAGGTGAGGCCCTCAGAGGCCAAAAGCGTACGAAAACCTTCCGTCGCGATATGCACAGTCTGGGAGGTGAATCTCAGCATTGGCATGGGTGTATCCTTGGTCGACAACAGACCTAATCCGGCGCAGTCCCTTTTAACCTGCTTCAGACGGGCTTAATCCCAGGCCCAATGCGGCCTCATCCGACATAATCGCCACACGCTCGGGCTTAGTAGCCGTTGTAATCGTTGCGTTATATTTTCTCCGTCGCGCAGTGCAAGGTGTCAGAAGATACGACTCGGGGACATTTCGTATCAGCGTCCTCCACTTCCCTCTCCTCCTCCTCCTCCTCCTCCTCCTTGTCCCTCTCCCCCTTGGATGTGGTGACGTTCGCCCGGCTACTATGCAGCACTGCCGCTGCGTAGGCTCTGCAACGGCTCGTCGATGGACACGGGGATCGCCCCCTCGAGGGGCAGCAGCTTGCGCGGTGTCCGCTCCCATCTTCCCCCGCCAAGACGAATGGCTAGCCTGTGTAAACCTTCGTGTAAAGACCTCCCAGGGGTTGCCTCCGGACCCTCCGCCCGGCCCGACAGGAGCTCCTCGCGGCCGTCCGGGAGGAGTTGCGCGACTGCGCGCGGCAGCTGAGCTTGGACACACGGCGGGCCGCCAAGGCTCGGCGACAACAGAGGGCTCACCAGTCTCGAACTTATCCCTGTCCCTAAGATTGACACGCCAAAATGCGATGACAATCTTAGGGATGCACCCTCAGAAACTGAGGGGATCCCTAAGGTCGCCATAGTGATGAGGCGATGCCCAACATAGGGATAGGGATATGTTCCAGGCTGATAAAGGGCGGGGTTACGCTGGGGCGTGGTTTGCGATTGGCACCGCTGGGGCCGTGGGGAGCACGACGCCGTCCTCGTCGGGCCTCCTCGTGGCGCGGCAAAGGGCTCCGTCGAAGTCCTCGCCCGCCCCCGGGGGCTACCCCCCAGGGTGGCTTGCTTCAAGCCGCACACCCTTTGCAAACCACACCTCTTCGGAGTCGCCAGAAGGAGACCTCCGCGGCCGTGCGCGCGGAGGTGGCGGCCGAGACCGCCCTGACGAGGAAGGCCCTGGAGGAGGACATCGCGGCCGCGCACAAGGATATGCAGTTAGTCAGAGGAGGAAGAGGTACCGATACCGCGACCCTTCCCTCGTCTTCCCGCTTCTGGGTCAGAACGTACCCAGGGAAAGGTCTGGGGAGTAGCGGTACCGGTACTTTTCGATTTCCCAAGGAGGCGAAAAATGGTATTGATCTTCTCCTTGTCCTCATCCGTATTGTCCTCCTTCTCCTCTTCGGCCTCCTCTTTCTGGACCTCCTCCTCCTCCTCGGCCTCCTCTTGCGTAACGCTGTGCCTCCTCGGCCTCCTACTCCTCGTCCTCCTCCCTCTCCTCGCTCTCATATTTCTCGCAGCCGAGCACCAGAACATGTATGTAGATCGTAAATCACGGAAGCTTCCGCTCGTCTTGGACGGAGTGTATATCGGCGAATCACGCCCAGTAGCGCCGAATAGAATGAAAAAGCGTTCAACAGCGACTAATAACACCCAGTAACGCCCAACACCGATGCATGATGTCCTCTTTGCGCGCGATTTGGCGCGCTATTCGGCACCATGAGGACGACCAACAGCTTCCATGAGATGCTTTCTTAGGACGTAGGGGTGGAGAAAAGGTATCCCCTCTTCGACCCTCTCCTCATCCTCGTCCTCGTCCTCCTCCGCCTCGTCGTCCTCCTCCTCGTCCAGCTCCTCCCCCCTTCCCTTCCAAATAATTTCTCTCTGCGCCCCCGATAGTTTCTAGGGCCGGTTTTCGCCTGAGGCTTCCACCACTTATTTTCCTGAAGCTTAAACATTGGCAACAGTTTCACAGATGGAGGGCGGGTGATTTTCAACATGTGGCTCTCGAGTCAGCGCCGCGCACACTCGTTTGAACAATTTGCAAGAGATCCACGGATTCAGACAGGCTGGTTTGTAACATGTGGCTCTCGCCTGAGCGCCGCGCATGTTCGTTATAAAAATGTAAGAATTTCACGGATTCAGGGCGTGTGGTTTTCAGCATGTGGTTCTCGCCTTAGCGCCGCGCACATTCGTTATACAAATGTTACAAGGGGGTTCATTGATTCAGGGCGGGCGGTTTTCAATTTGTGGTTCTGCCTCAGCGCTGCGCACATTTTTTCACGTTTGGAAGCGTTTCACGGATTGATGGCGGTTCTTTTCCAAAATGTGGTTCTCGCTTCAGCGACGCGCACATTATTTTTCTTTAGTTTGCAAGAGTCTCGCGGATTCCCATGCATGATCAACGTACCAGAAATTGCGTTCTGGAAGGATGCAGGAATTGACGGGCGTTAGAATTTGGATATCCATGTTTTGGCATGCTTCAGGGTCTTCAAACGCTTGTCTTCCAACGAGGCAGTTCCCTCAGTGGAGGTGAGCCGCTGTGCTGGCCTATGAAGAGGGAGCTTGGAGGGAGGGTTTATGCCAACATCTGTGATGACTCTTGGGTTTACACTGGTCCTCCTCCTCCTCCTCCTCCTCCTCGACCTCCTCGTCGTTCTGCTCTTGTTTCTCCTCCTTCTTCTACTCTTTCTCCACCTCCCTTTTCACCTTCTCCTCTTACTCCTCTCCCTCCTCGTCCTCTTCCTTCTCGTCCTCGTCCTCCTCGCGGCCGCGCACGGATGCACAGGTCGGGAGTCTCCAAGCCCCCGCCGCGTCGACAAGAAATCTCGACGGCAGGTTTTCGCATGCTCTCTGTCTTTGGGGGACCCTCGCTGGGCCCCGTGGGCGTCAACAGTCGACTCGGGAGGAGACGCCGGTTGTGGGGAGGGGGTCCAGACCTCTGGGTGACCACGTCAGGAGACAAAACATGACGTCGCGACCCGTCGGGGGTTTTGGAAGAGCGTCAGCGACACGCTGCCATTGGGAGCTTGTCGGCGTGTTGCCCCTCTTGCTTTGCCCGGAGACCTCATATCAGTTCATCAGCAGTAACATCCTGATGGGTTCCCCATGGAAGCGTGTCATTCGTACTGTTCTTGCTCCTCCAGGACATACGCGAGATCACCAGGGGGCGATTCGGACGCGCCTTTGTAAAGAATGATCGGCGCTGCCTCATCGCATATCCCCGAGTCAGGGCCCCAAATTTCGGTCCAGCCGAAAACTGCACAAAGTTGGGGCTGAGTGTCGCCGTACCTCTTTCAATGAACATCCGATCAGGACCGAGATGCCCCAGATCTCCCGACCCTTTCCCGGGGGATACTTGTGCGTCCCAGATATGATGCTGGTCTTGGAGCCCGATAAGTACGTCCTGGAGGCTGAAATCGAGGAACACGCCAATAATGAAAAGACCACATCCTCGAAGATCTGGCCGGTGGCAACGATAAGAGGGATAGGCATGGGGGGATTCATCGACCCACAATCGCCCATTGATCGCAGATAGGGGCCCGACAGCCCCAACCTGCCTACGAAGGTGGGGATTCATTGTCGGGGGCCTATTGCAGATCTATCGGCGATGTATCGCCGATTCCAGGTCGATGTGTCCCCCCAGTCCAGTCCCTCCCTTATCGTTGCCCCTCATCCAGGCTTTCGTCCGACCTGGAAAGGGAGTGTTAAACCGATGTCCAGACCTCTCTCGGGGTGCGTTCTGCCAGCGATTTCGAGGCCGATCCAGCCGCGGCCACGGGACGCCTCCTGGAGGCCTACAACTGCAGAAAGCCTTTATCATCGAGCTTCGTCGGTTTTTCTTACCTCCCAGCAGCATGGAAGCCACAACGCACGCCAGTGCCGAGCATGGTAGTAACACGAATAATATGACACAATTGGGCGACGTACCCAACCCTTGCGAAATGCGCGGCACGAGTAGCTTGGGACACGTTATACAGGGTGATGACGTGACATGGGCGCATATAATTCTGCGAGCGGCATTCGTGAGGCTCGCAGCCCCAAGGGATGGCGAGGTCCCGCTCAGATCTGCGAGGTGCTTCACTCCGCTGGACCTGCCGACAGCCTTCGAAAGTGGCGACGGTTTCGCAGATCTCAGCCCCCCCCCAGGGACGGCGAGGTCCCGCTCAGGTCTGCACCGCGCCTCACCCCGCGGGACCCACCAGCAGCCCGCGAAAGTGGCGACAGCTTCGCACATCGCAGGCCCCCCAGGGACGGCGAGATCTCGCTCAGATTTGGGCGGTGTCTCATTCCGCTGGGCCCACCAGCAGCCTTCGAAAGTGGCGACAGGGACGGCGGGGTCTCGCTCACGTTTGCGCAGTGCTGGCCCCATTGGACCCACCAACAGCCCTCGAACGTGGCGACGGTTTCGCAGATCGTAGCCCCCCAGGGACGGCGAGGTCTCGCTCAGATCCGCGCAGTGCCTCGCTCCGCTGGACCCGCCAGCAGCCCGCGAAAGTGGCGACGGTGTCGCAGATCGCAGCCCCCCAGGGACGGCGACGTCTCGCTCAAATCTGCGCGGTGCCTCACCCCGCTGAGCACACCAGCAACCCGCGAAAGTGGCGACTTTGTCGCAGATCGCAGCCCCACCCCAGGGACGGCGGTGTCTCGCTCAGGTCTGCGCGGTGCCTCACTCCGCTGGGCCCACCAGCTGCCATCGAAAGTGGCGACGGTGTCGCAGATCGCAGCCCCCCAGGGACGGCGAGGTCTCGCTCAGATTTGCGCGGTGTCCCACCCCGCTGGGCCAACCAGCAGCCATCAAAAGCGGCGACAGTGTCGCAGATCGCAGCCCCCCCCCCCCAGGGACGGCGAGGTCTCGCTCAGGTTTGCGCGGTGCCTCACTCCGCTGGACCCACCAGCAGCTTTCGAAAGTGGCGACAGTGTCGCAGATCGCAGCCCCCCAGGGACGGCGAGGTCCCGCTCAGGTTTTCCGCGGTGCTTCATTCCGTTGGGCTCACCAGCAGCTTATGAAAGTGGCGACGGTGTCGCAGATCGCAGCCCCCCCCCCCTCAGGGACGGCGAGGTTTCGCTCAGATTTGCACGGTGCCTCACCCCGCTGGACCCACCAGCAGGCAGCTAAAGTGGCGACGGTGTCGCAAATCGCAGCTCCCCAGGGGCGGCGAGGCTTGCTCAGATCTGCGCGGTGCGGAATCCCGCTGGCCCACCAGCAGCTTTCGAAAGTGGCGACGATTTCGCAGATCGCAGCCCCCCCCCCAGGACGGCGGGGTCTCGCTCAGATCTGCGCGGTGCTTCGTTCCGCTAGGTACACCAGCAGCCTTCGAAAGTGGGGGCAGTGTCGCAGATCGCAGCCCCCCCGCCTCCCCCCAGGGACGGCGAGGTTTCGCTGGGCCCACCAGCAGCCCTCGAAACTGGCGACGATGTCGCAGATCGCAGCCCCCTTCGAACGGCGAGGTCTTGCTCAGGTCTGCGCGGTGCCTCACCCCGCTGGGCCCACCAGCAGTCCTCGAAATTGGCGACAATGTCGCAGATCGCAGCCCCCTTCGAACGGCGAGGTCTTGCTCAGGTCTGCGCGGTGCCTCACCCCGCTGGGCCCACCAGCAGCCCTCGAAAGTGGCGTCAATGTCGCAGAACGCAGCCCCCCTCCAGGGACGGCGAGGAAGTCTCGCTCAGGTCTGCGTGCCTCCTCATTCCGCTGGGCCCACCAGCAGCTTTCGAAAGTGGCGACAGCGTCGCAGATCGCAGCCCCCCAGGGACGGCGAGGTCCCGCTCAGGTTTGCGCGGTGCCTCGCTCCGCTGGACCCACCAGCAGCTGTCGAAAGTGGCGACAGTGTCGCAGATCGCAGCCCCCCAGGGACGGCGAGGTCCCGCTCAGGTTTGCGCGGTGCTTCACTTCGTTGGGCCCACCAGCAGCTTTCGAAAGTGGCGACAATGTCGCAGATCGCAGCCCCTCAGGGGACGGCGAGGTCCCGCTCAGGTCTGCGCGGTGCCTCACTCCGCTGGACCCACCCACAGCCCGCGATAGTGGCGACGATGTCGCAGATCGCAGCCCCCCCAGGGACGGCGAGGTCTCGCTCAGGTCTGCGCGGTGCCTCACTCCGCTGGACCCACCAGCAGCCCTCGAAAGTGGCGACCGTGTCGCAGATCGCAGCCCCCCCCCAGGGCTGGCGAGATTTCGCGGGAGGCAGGAGGCGGGAGGAGGAGGATGAGGAGGAGGAGGAGGAGGAGGAGGGAGACGCGACCGCGGTGCTGTATTCAAAACGAATACCTAACCAAGGAGGGTTGGGACAAAAAACAACCATTTGCCTTGAGCGGTAGGCCGTTGATTTTGCAGACTTCTTGCTCAGCGCAGGATTCTGTCATTCAGCCTTCTGGAGCACTCGCGGGCCCCAAACCGCAGAAAACATGGATCCTCGAACTTCGTCGACCCTCGAAGGGAAACCACATCCTCGGAGATCTGGTGAGGAATTCTGCGAGGATGTGTGCTTACCCTTCACTGGCAATACGGTTTAGATGCACCTGTGAGTTTTGCTATATCCCAGCGTGTGCCTTTCTGCCTCCCTCCTCCTTCTCCTCTCCTGCCCTCTCAGCCCGGTTTCACCGATACGACATGGGATGAATTCGTGTCGTTCCACGCTTGCATGGTGGTTTTGTGTTCCTGTTGGTGTGCTCTTCCCCCACCTCCTCCTGCTCCCTTTGCTGTGAACGGTGCGCGTTCGCCCGTGTCCATGGCCGATGCCCCGGGATGCACGGTGTTTCAATTCCTCGCGATCCCTCGCGAGTTCCTCTTGCAGTTTTGTGCCTATCGCCCTTGATTAACAATTCATATACGCCACTGCTCGCAGGACTGCTCAACTGCGTGGTTGGACGCCTCATTTGCACGACGTGTGAAGTAGCTCACTGGCTGCACGCTTGCGTCGCCGAGTGTGTCATCGTGCGGATGTGGTCGCTCCCCCTCCCCCCCAAAACAAAACACGTCTTCAGAGATCTGGGCTTCCGTCCGGCCAGTGCAGCCCTGAGATCCGACGCGTCGAGAACTACCAACATCGTAAAACATCACGACCCGAGCCCTGGACCCCATCTTTCTGCATCTTTTTCGACGAAGGATCGATCTGTGAGGGCCCCAGGGCCCGAAATCCAGCAAAAGCTCCTTGTGTGACAAAATTGCAATGTCCGGATCTTAGGGCGCCTTGCCCCCTGAATGGGGAAACCAAAAGGTACCGATACTGCTACTCCCCGGACCCCTCCAGGGGTGCGCTATGACCAGGATTTCGAGGCGAATCCAGCGATGGCGATAAGGGCCGCCCAGGCTGCCCAACAGGGCGAAGTCGAGGGGGAAGAAGATATGGTACCTGTACTTTCTCCTCCCCTGACTGAAGATGTCTCCCATTGCGCCCCCTGGCTACAGGACATCGGCGGCGAAATCCGAACCCTACCCTCGCCGATCAACGATTCAGGCAACTCGATGGGCGGCGGGGGTAGGGTTTGGACGTCGATCGATTCAGGTGAGTCGACGGTTGGGGGGGGGTAGGGTTCGGACGTGGCCACCTACCCGGGGCGGCCAAGAGGGGGGTGCTGACTGGGAGGGGATATCATGGCTGGAGCCACGATACCTCCCCAGGTTTCATGGCGCCCCTCTTTGTTTCAGTATACGCCCCATGGTCCCCCCCTCGTCCGCGCACCTGCCTCCCATCGGTTCAGGCGATTCGACAGCTGGTGGGGGTGGGGTTCGGCTGTCATCGCCGAGGACATCCGCGAGATCCGCACCGAGCTGCGCGTCGGCCCCGAGGCCGCGCTGCTGCTGGGCGAGGCGGCCGCCGCGGCGCCGAGGCCCCCGCGGCACGGCGGCCGTGCCGGGAGCCCGCCCGCCGGGTCGGCCGCGCTCGCCGGGCTGCTGGCGGAGGTGGTCGGCACGATCGGAATGGCTGCGGAAAGCATGGGCGCGAAGACTAAGAGCTCGGAGGAGGAAATGTACCCATCCCTCTACCCCTTCTCGGTTTTCCCCGTTTTGGGCCTCCTGGGCGGCCCTCGTCGCTACCGCTGGATTCGCCTCGAACTCCTGGTCAGAACGCACCCCGGGAGAGGTCCGGGGAGTAGCGGTAACCGTACCTTTTGATATCCCCAAAGAGCAGCCGCTGAAGGTCTCTAAGTTTGGTCCCCCCCCCCTGGTCCTAAACCCTCTTCCTCCTCCTCCTCCTCCTCCTCCTCCTCCTCCTCCTCCTCCTCCTTTTCCTCCTCCTCCTCCTCCTCCTCCTCCTCCTTCTCCTCCTCCTTCCTTCTCCTCCTCATCATCCTTCGCCCTCCTCCTCCGTCTCCTCCTCCTCCTCCTCCTCCTCCTCCTCCTCTTCCTCCTCTTCCTTCTCCTCCTCCTCCTCCTCCTCCTCCTCCTCTTCCACCCTCTCCTCTCTCTCCGCGGAAGAAAATCATTAGCTACCCCCTATTGGTGGACCACAGTTCTTCAATAATGTCGCGGGGAAATAATTAGATACCCCCTAGTGGGGGTGGGTTTCTCCAGAGCTTCCAGGGTCATGTCCTGCTCATGTCGAACCGGACTCGCTGTCGGCGTCGCCGCGGTCGTTGTCCAATTGAGGCAGCAGGCCGTCTGCCCAAAAGCGGCGGCTGTCGGTTTTGGACAAGATGTGTTGGTTGGCATCGTACCCAGTATTTCCGTACCCAGTTCGGGCGGCCAAAGGTGAGGCGCCTCGGCCCGCGGCTGGACGAGGTTCGCTCAGGAGGGTCAGCCCTGACCATCCACCTTCCACACCTCCTGAGCAGCAGGTGGCTGGATTAGTGGTCTCCTCGCGAGCGACAGACATGGCATTCGCGCGCGGATTTCTTGGATTTGCGCTGGACCCCCCTCCCTGGCGCGTGGAGCGCGCCAGGGGCGGCGCCGGAGGCGCCGCCAAGGGGCTCCAGTGCCGACCCAAGTCGGTGCGGTACTCCGAAAGTTGTTTTGTTCTTGCCCTTCTCTGCCCCTCGAAAAGATCACTACGTCAGCCACATGCCGATCGGGAGATGCTGAGGGTGGAGGGTCATAGAAATCGATGTATGAAAATATTCGAATGCAGGGGAAGAGACACATTCACGGGATATTCAAATGAATATTGGAAATCCTGGAATATGTGTTGTTGTATTTGTGTCCACCTGGGCCCCTTGTGAATCGTGGGCGAAGGACATATCCGTTATTATCCGCGGCCTCGCGGGCCGGGCCCCAGGGCCGCGACCCCGCGGATACGGGGCACTTTGTTCGCGGATGCCCAGCGGAGCGTATCCGTGCGACCGCGCGTGTCCGCGGGAACGCCCTGGAATCCAGACCGCGAGGGCGCGGATACGGATAGCTTCGCCGCTCGTGCGAGGTGCGGGGGTGCCGGCCCAGGGCCGCCTTGCGATCCGATCAGATGTGATGCGATGCGCCAGCTGCCAGCGACTACTGTACTGCAGTTCAGGGGTGCGGCTTCGATCTGCGCCGTTTGATGAGCCCTCGTTTCGCAAGAGGTTCGATGAGTCCTCGTCGGGGTGCGGCAGAGGCCTTCGCCTGCCCGCATGGCGCAGGTCGCAGACCAGACCCGTTGTAAAGTACACCCATCGGAGTCGCCGAAGCGGGGGGACGCGTTTCCGCACGGACTCGATTCGGTTTCCTGGAATCCCGGCGTGGCATTTTTTTGTCAGACGGGGCGATGTCGTTTGGTTTCGGGCCCGAGGTCCAGGACTGCAGCTCGATTCAGCCTGGAAAACTGCAGCAGAACGGTCAAGGGATCCAGTCGAAGCCAATTGCCTTCGCCAGCTCAACCTGCCAAACCAACCAGCCCACAACCTGCCAACCCAACCACCCCAACCCAACCAGCCAACCAGTCCAACTGGCCACCCAGCCAGTCTGCCAGCCAACCGGCCCAGTAAGCCACCCCGTCACCCAGCCAACCCGCCCACCTCCGCCGTCTGCCCTCCGTCATCGCCGAGAGGGGGGGCGGGGGAAGTGTTTCCTTTCAGCGATACCGAGAACAAAAAACACCCTCCCGGGGCCTGGCGAGACATCGGGGGGGAGGGCAAATTGCGCCGCGGGAGCTCTGGGACGGTTTGGGGCGTCAAGTGTGGTATTGCGGTCATTCTGTTCATTCTCACCGCACTTCCTTCCTCAACTGGAAGGCTCCCATCCTCAAAACGGTTGTCAGTTTTAAGGCCCCGCGCGGGGCTTCTTAGATAGACGGTCCGCCAAGTCAGGGAAGGCGACACCGTGCAGCAACGTGGGGGACCGTTCCTTGGAGCGCACTCCTTCGGCCCTCACGTGGCGCTCGACGGCTTAGGAGGTCCCAGGCTGTCCCAGGAGGTTTCAGGAAGTCGAGGAGGTCGCAGGAGGCCCCAGGAAGCCCCAGGAGGCTCCAGGAGGTCCCAGGAGGCCCCAGGAGGCGCCGCGAGGTTCCAGGAGGCCCAGGAGGCGCCAGGAAGCCCCAGGAGGTCCAAGAAGACTTGAGGAAGTCCAGGGAGGCCACACGAAACCCCAGGAGGCTCCAAGAGGTCCCAGGACGTCGCAGGAGGCAGCAGGAAGCCCGAGGGATGCCGAAAGGCTCCACGAGGGAGGGAGGGAGAGAGGGAGGGAGTGAAGGAGGGAGGTGGGAGGAGGAGGGGGAGGAGGAGGACGGGGCGGGAGGAGGAGGGATGGATTAACGGACGGAGGGAGGGAGCGAGGGAAGGAGGGAAGGAGCGTCGCGGTGGAAACGGGGGACCAGGGAGCAGTTGGAGGAGGAGGAGGAGGAGGAGGAGGAGGAGGAGGGGCAGGGGGAGAGGTACGAGCAGGACTAGAAGGCAGATGCTGATGATGATGATGACGATGGTGATGGTGATGGTGGTGATGCTGATGCTGATGCTGATGTTCATGATGCTAAGGGTGATGATGATGGTGATGATGCTGATGCTGCTGCCGATGATGAGGCTGCTGCTGATGATGATGATGATAATGCTGATAATGCTGCTGATGATGATGATGATGATGATGGTGATGATGATGATGATGGTGATGGTGGTGATGATGATGATGATGCTGATTATGATGATGTTGATGATGCTGATGATGATGATGATGGTGATGATGATGATGATGATGATGATGATGATGATGATGATGACGAGGAGGAGGAGGAGGGCGGTGCCAACGAGAAGGATGAAGGGAGCAGGAAGCAAGAGTGGGAGGAACATCTCAAGGACGAGCGACACATTAGCAGACATACTACAGCGAGATGAGGAAGTAGCCGGGACATGCGCAGAGAGGAAGTAGACGGTTGCCCTAGCCAGCTCAATTTGCCAACTCAATCAACCCAACCAGCCCAACCAGCCACCACGCCATCCATTCAAACCTTCGGCCAACCACCCTAACCCGCCTCCGTCGAGGGGGGAATGAAGAGTGAACCAATGTGACGACATTATCACATCTGAGGCTCAAAACCGCTCTGGACGTCCCGCGCCGCGAAGACGGTTCCCTCGCACTACGGTGCGAGTTACCCTTCCCCTCTCGGCGGTGACGGAGAGCAGGCGGTGAGTGTGGGCGGTTTGGCGGGTTGGCGGGCCATTTTTTGGGGGCCCCGCGCGAGGCGTCCTAGACGGCCGCTCCAGGGAAGCCGCCACATCGTATAGTAATGCGCGAGACCGCTCCCTGGAGCGGGCTCTCCCGGGTGACACTCGACGGCCTAGGAGGCCTCAGGAGGTCCTAGGCGGCTCCAGGAGATCGCAGAAGGAGGCCCAATGAGATCCCAGGAGGCCCCAGGAGATTCCATGAGGCCCCGGGAGGATTCAAAACGCACCAGGAGTACCCATGAGGACCCAGAAGGCGCCAGGAGGCCCCAGGAAGCTGCAGGAAACCAGAGAAGGCTCCAAGAGGCTCCAGGAGGTACTTGTACCAGAAGGCCCCTCGTAGTCCCAGAAGGCCCCAGACGGTCCCATAGTCCATCGCGCGAGGGGAGGGGCCAGGGGAGGGAGGTGGAAGAGGAAGGGCAGGAAGAGGACGAACAAGAGGAGGAGGAGGAGGAGGAGGAGGAGGAGGAGGACAGAGAAGAGTCACCAGGACGAGCAGGAGGAGGACATGGAGGAGGCGTATGACCAGCAGGCAACGGATGAGGATGAGGATGAGACGAGGAGGAGGAATAGGGCCAGTGCAAGCTCAATGCTCGTTGCCATGAACCCTCCCCGCCCTCCGAGTTCCCTCTTCATAGGCCTCTGGAAGACTCATGTTTGCTGAGGGAGGTGCCCCTTTGGAAGACAACTGTATGAACGCTCGTGAATACCATTCCTGAGACCTCAACGCCGCGGCGTACCGCTACTGGTGCCTCTGGACGATCATGAACCGTGCCAGAATACAGTTGCTAGGCATTAACACCACAAAGTAACGTAACTGTTGCGCCCTGTCAGTCCCAGTCCGTGCCAAAACAACTTGTTTGGGTATGTAGCCATGAGAAGAATTGAATATGATGTAAGCTCTTGTAACGAATGCGCGCGACGGCGAGAGCCATATTTTGATAAGGAGCCGCCCGCCATCCGTCAAACGGTTGCAACATTTGCAGGCGAATACGCGCGGCGCTAAAGCGAGAGCCGCATTTTGAACACCATCCGCCCTGCACCCGTTCAATTGTTGCACTTTTCAAGCTTCAGGATCGTAATTGTTAAGGAAGTCTCAGGCGAAACGCCCGGCACACCCTTTCGACCAGCCTCGGGGTGCGACAAGGAGAAATTATGTATAGGAAACCACTTCGACTGTCTTGAAGCTGTCCTCTCCACTGCTCGTGCAAACATCCCACCCTCCCACCCGCAACTTGGACGCAAGACATCTTCAGACAAGACCGTGACGGTAGGTACTGCGTGGCACTTGGCCACGACACCGATGCCGACGACGACAGCGACATCGACGACGACGGCGCCGCCGACAGCGACTGCGACGACACCGACGACGTCTCCAATGTTTTCGACGACGACAACGACGACGACGACACCGACGACGACGACAACGACGCCGACGACGACGACGAAGACGACGACGACGTCGCCAACGGAGACGACGACGAGGGAGGAGAAAAAACGACGACGGCGACAACGACGACAACGACGATGGAGGAGGGAAGACGGCGACGACGCCAACGACGAAGAAGGAGGAAGGACGGAAACGCCGACGACGACAACGACGAGGAAGGAGGGAAGACGACGACGATGACAACGACGACGAAGACGACGACGACGGCGACGAAATAGGAGGGACGACGACGAGACGCCGACGACGGACGACGACGACGAGGGAGGAGGATAACGACGAGGGAGGAGTGAAGACCACGACGACGACGACGACGACGACGACGCGACGAAATAGGAGGGACAACGACGAGACGCCGACGAAGACAACGAGGGAGGAAGGACGACCACGGCGACAACGACGACGGAAACGACGACGACGCCAAAGACGACGAGGAAAGACAGAAGACGACGACGGCGACGACGACGACGACGACGACGAGGGGAGGGAGGACGACGACGACGACGACGACGCAAGAGCGCGCGCGCACAATTTTGTTGAAAACCCGTGTTGCGAAATCTTGTGTTTTTGTAGGTTTTTTGGACGCACGATTTCGACATTCTTCCGAAACCGAAGGTTTTTGAAGGATTTCGGCATACTCCCGCGACGACGCGCGCGTCTGCACTTCGTCCAATTTTTTGCAGAGGATTCTCGCGACGGCACACGCGCAAGAG